GGTGGGTGTCTGGGCTCCCCGCCCCCCCCCCCCCCGGAGGCTCCGGAGACCCCGAAACTACGACCCGTGGCCTCCAGGATCCTTAAGATGCCATGTAAGCTGGCTCAAGATGGGCTCCCAGACCGCGCGGAAGCCTGGAAAAAACCCAAAGGTGGCCTCGAGACGGCCCAAGATGTGTCCAAGACGCCTCACGAGGGTTCCAAGAGGACCCAGGAGGGGGCCCCAAGAGGTAAAAATCACAAAATTCGTTCAGGAATACGTAAACTCTGAGCATGCTCGAAATTTTCGTGTGGACAGTGTCCAAGACTGCTCAAGGGATCCCAAGATCGCCCCAAGACGGAAACCGCCATGAGGACCCCAAAACGGCCCAAGAGGGTCACCAAGCAACCCCAAGGGGCCCCCAAAACGTCCCCAAGAGAGCTCTCAAAGGGGCCAAAGAAAAGGAATACGAACTTGGATTTCGAGCCTTTCCCCCCCACATGGCCCCAAGAGCCCCCCATAGGCCCCCAAGACGCCCCCAAGAGGCCCCAAGACGCTTCCAAGAGGCTCCCAAGAAGCCCCCAAGAGGCACCCAAAAACACCCCAGATGCCCCAAAGAGCCCTCCAAGAGGCCCCTGAGAGGCATCCCGGCAGCCCCTCTTATGCGTCCAATGTCTCTGACCCACTGGAGAACTTCCACGCTCGAGACAAGCCCTCCCTCATTCGGGGGGTCGGCGGAGTGGTGTCAGCCACTTGAATCCGCCCGCCCACCGGGCAGAGGGGCGTGTGAGATTTAACTACGAGGGCTCCTTCCAGAGCTTCGCCCCCCCCCCCTTTCCCCCCCCCCGAACGACTCCGCCATTCCGCCGCCCAGCGGCGCTCAATCCCCTTTTCTGGCCCCAAGACGGCTTCCAAACGGCGTCCAAGACGAATTCGATTTTTACACCGCTCCCAATACATTTTTCGGGCGCATGTGGGCTCTATTTTGACTCCTTCGCGGGCCCCTCTTGGGCTCCCAAATCAACTCCTGGGGCCCTCAAGAACGCTTCATGGGCCCAACCATGCGTACAGACTGGAAACCTCAAAAATATAGCCAAACACACCAGTTTTTTATCATTTTCGCCTCGCCGGGGATCGCCCGGACGCCTCTTCTGGCTGACTTCCAGGCTCGCCTGGGGCATCTTTCAGCGTGTACACTTCGACACCGTCTTGGGACACGCTCAGGGAGACAATTTTGGAAAATCCCGGGTTCAACTTCGGCCCCCAATCGGGGCCCAAAACGGCCCAGAACCGGCCAGGCTTTTACCGGAAGACGGACGGGGCTGCGGTCCCATGCGGGGATGCTCGCGCTTGGGTCGTCCAGAAGCCCGCCTGGGCCGCCTCGGGCTCGTCTTGGGCCCTTTTGGGCCCTTCTCCAGGCCCTCTTCGGCCCTCCTTGGCGCCATTGGGGCCCTTTCCGAGGCGTCTTTGGCTGGTCCACCGGGCCGCCTGGGGCCCTTCGTGGACTCTTTCTACACCCTGGTAGGCACCCGTCAAACGCTATTGGTTTTTTTTTCCATGCGTTCGGCCCGTTTCGGTTGACCTTGAGCAGTGCTCGGTTATTTCGGGCACCCTGACGTGGATGGGGCGCAAGTATGCGGAAAAGCCGACCTCCAGATCACTGATCCGTTGATAATGGCGGCGGACCGCAGACGAGAGGACAAAGTCACCATCGATGGGCCGCGCGGCATACCTGAGCCAAATAAGCGATGGAATGAAAAAGGAATGACACCCACGAAAAAACAGCAAACCGCACCTACGGGGTCTTGTGGTATTTTCCGTCTATGTTGCTCCAGTCTTGCAGCTGCCTCGCCTCATTCGACGAGAACACGAATGGGCGGGCGGTGAACGCGAAGCGTCTTGAATCCACGTCTGGAGGTGACGTGCTGAGCGGCAGCGTTTTTCGGCGAACGCCCTAATGCAACGTATCCAATATATCCAATGATTGTAGAATTGCCACATATTGCATTGTGTTACAATATATGTATCCCCCACTAACCCCCCTAGGAGCCGCGCCACAGGAATGGACCAAAATGGTCGGCCCTCCTTCTGGGGCCCTAAATATATATATATATATATATATATATATATATATATATATTATCCTTATTAATAATATTATTATTAGTATTATTATTAGTATTATTATCATTAGTATTATTACTATGACTATTATTATTAATATTATTAGTATTATTAGTAGTGTTGTTATTATTATTATTATCAGTAGTAGTAGTAGTAGTAGTAGTAGTAGTAGTAGTAGTAGTAGTAGTAGTACTAGTAGTAGTAGTAGTAGTAGTAGTAGTAGTAGCAGTAGTATTCTTACTATTAATTTATATGTATGACTCTTGGGCCTCGGGGGACTCCAAGAAAACCTCAAAACAGCCCAAGATGGCCCCAAGACGGCCAAAGATATTCCCAACGGGGGCCCATGAGGCCCCCAAGACGGCCCTCGAGGGCCCCAAAAGCCCCAACCAAGGAC